TTTGGTTTAAAATCGGTACGCTGCGAATTTTCCCTTGAACATTCTTTACAAGACTTTCGTTTCTTATTTGAGTTGGAAGTGCGAGAGAATCGAGAGTGAGAACCGTGTAAAATTTCATTTGCAATTTGCATATGTGTAAAAGTAAATAAATTCGCGAATATTCAAATGATAACTGCCATTGCGATGTGCTATATGAAATAACACTTTCTTTCGTTCATCGTTTCCTTCTGCGTAAATATTCAAAGCATTTCACGAAAAATGTCATCGGGAAAAAGAAACGATTTTTACATTTTAAAATCGCTGCTATATTTACGTTTGCTTCATTCAGTTGACATTACCACCATAAGAATACCGTTACAGAGGTAAACAAAAAAAAAAAAACACACACACACACCCATCGAGCAAAAGAACATGGATAAAAACGTGTGTTGGCATCGCTTCAATGTAACAATGCATGGTAACCATTTGAAAATATCACATATAGGCTTTAGTATACTCTTTTCGTCACTTTTGAAACTCCTGTTTACACTGGTACGTTTCATGTTTATCTATCTTCTTCTCTCGCCCGTTCGCCCAACTGAATGTGATACAATGTCGCTCATTTTGCTTACTAATTCAACACAACTTTACTGTTCCATGCACATTTTCTATTTAACATTCCATTTGAGGTATTTGATGTACGGTATTAAATGTAAACATTGTTTTACGTTATTCACATAGGATTCATTAGTGGCATTTCGGTATACACAGATGAACACATTTCATAATTATGTAGCCGTACCTGAAATATTGTTCTTGCGAACACTGTTGTTTAATTAAAATGTATACAAATTGATTGAATTCAAATGAAGTCATTGAAAAGTTGATGGTTTCTATTGCGTTTCAGTCAATGCATACATGATATAACCTTTAATTTTTTTTTTTTTGGTTTCAATTCAAATCAATCAATTCTATCGATTGAATGGCCGAATAAATGCAATTTTCCAGATTAATTGATGGCATGTCAAATATTTTCGACGGATAAATATACATGTCCGTGATTGTCAACATTGTATGCCACTGCATTGACAGAGAGGTGACAAAATTCTTCGATCGATACGTGTCATAAATAAGTTTAACTCAATGTAATTTACTCAAAAGCTTTCTGTATGCAACATGTATTTACTGACTATAATAATGCAATTTATCAGCATAAATTCAATGAACAATTTGTTTACTTTAGTTCAGATTGTAAATCATTCCATGTGTTGATTTGATTACTGTCCAACAGTTAATTTGTTATTACAATGCTGCTCCTTGAATATTTACACAATATTAATACAGTGATTCTCTGCCACTCAACGATGAAATATGTTTATTATTCATTTATCGATGTATTTAGATGCATGATATCATATACTAGAAATTCTGAATATTTAATGCGTGTTATGTGGAATCACCACGTTTCGAGCATGTATCGATAACAATCCATCAGATTAGTTGCTCTTATAGTTGGACTTTATGGCCTATAAACTACACACAACCAGCAAACAATGCAGTCATGACTAACGTAATCTTGTTGGCGTGAAATAGACGAATTATCCCTGGGATAAAACATCCCAACACACAATTTGTTTTCTGAAATAAGCTCAGTCGACCTTCATATCGTTCTTGTTTCGTCTGTGCATCTCCATTTTTTTTTCGGTTTTTCTTTATCTTCTATTTCATATTACCAGTTGATGATAGTTCGTGTTTTATCATGAGGTGTATAAGTGTTTGTGTTAGTTTTTGTGTGGATGTGCGTTGAAAAAAAAGCTCTCACGCTTTATTTACGGCGAGAGTGTGACATGATTGTCATCATTGATGTATATTGTGTGTAAGAGTGAATGATGTGGGCGACTGGACATCATAAATATTTTGATATTTGCTTCGTATCTATCGCATTGTATTTGGAACAGAGCTGTCGAGATGCTCGATGATGGTGTCATAAAAATTGATTTAGGTTATGTGTTCGTTAGCAGCAAATGACAGCAGCATTGAGCCATACATCATGTACATGCTTGTTATGTTACATAGCATATAAATATTAATAAAATAGATAGAAAAAAATCTCGAGAGAAAAAAAACCGATTTTAATCATTCAAATCCTGAATGCATCGATGAATAAAGCTTGAAAGACAAAAAAGAATTCAAAATATTTCCAAAAGTTTCAAGTGTCCGAGTTTTTGACATAAACCAAAAACTTGGCAACTTATTCGGAAATTAATATCGTATGTTCAATGAAATTTTAAAGTATGCGAACAGAAGTTTTTGCTGCAAATTTTATGCAAAAGTTCATTAATATATATGTGTTGTATGTTGTTGAAACGGAACACTCATCCATTGCACCATTTTACTGAAAACCAATGCTATGCAGATCATTTTGGCGATACAAAGGGGAAGAACTTCATTTATAACGGCTGTTGGTGCAGTTAGTAATTTCGGTCCCATTATGACATCTTTCTTCATCTACAGCTTCTATGCAGAAGATATAGTTTGGCTTTGAAATTTCCGTTCTCCATATATATTTATACATATATGTTTCAACACAAAATATACAAGTTTACATGCAGGTCATATTCAGGATTTAATATCTCATTTCGTTTTTAATGGACCCATTCCTCTGCTCTGGTATTCATGAATAAGCACGAACATTGGTATATCGAATTGTGCACCGCACATAAAATTAATAGAATTTCTCTCTCACATTTGACCTTAGTGTAATCATAGATCTTTTATTTTTAACAATATGTATTTTGTATGAGCCACTTCGCAGATACAACAATATTTCAATTAGATTATTTATTCAATAACCACTTAATATCCGGCATATATATTCACCATTTTAATGATTCACTCAAAGAAAACTGTTTGGCATCCGTTTCTTCATTGTTACAACCGTGCCATTTTAAGTTTATTGAGCTCTATTAGTACACCAAATGACCTATCAATATTCATTAAGCTGTTATCGTGGTTTTATTAGATGATCCCACCATAAAATATTGGTAAATCGTGCTAATTTTCATGACACATAAATTTTAACCATGGTGGCTTGGTGTTTATTGCAATTTTCGATTTATTAGTTTTCGTTGGAATGGATTTGGTTTAGTGTTTGTATGGCCGTAATAAGTAGCACCACTAAAAATTGTCTGTCCAAAAAAATTATGGATAACATTTTTTGCTCACTGAACCTATTTGAATTGCATAATATAACTGCAAAAAAAAACTGTTCGAATAATAGTAATGATAAAAATTGTGCCTTTTGGGTTGTTTTTGCGCTGATTTCTGTTTTCCATCCGTCTGAACTGCTACTCTTTGTTATGTGTATGATTTTCGTACAAAACTAAACAAGTTTTACTTGATTATACTTTACAAATTAAAAATTTAATTTCCCGGCTACGGACGTTTCGATGTTTGCAAATTAAGAAATATTTATTTGCGCATCTTGTTTGCGAACAATCCATGAAACTTGAATAACGTAAATGTCATTTGTATCATTTATTTTCTACTATATACCAAGAAAACTATCGGAATTGACATAACCAATAAGACACAAAATACATTATTTCAACTATTCTGACCGTGTTTTGCATATCATTTCCGACAACTATCATTTTGATGCTTACCACAATGACAGCACATCTTCTTCTCTTTTCATACTCATTTTCTTTTCTCTGCGCTCTGCGTTTTTTTTTTCGTTATTTGAATGTCACAAGCTGTCTAGTGTTACTGCATAAAGAAGATCCGCATCATATTTTGTGACAGTCTTATTTCCTTCAGACTGCGAACATATTGTTGGCAGTTATCCAGAGAATTGACAGCTTAATTCATCTTGTCACAATATTAATTTCGCGAAACCAATATGTATCGTGGTTGATGTTGTACGTGCTGAATTTCTACCACATTCAACTGTATGTGCACTCAAACAACTGAAAAATGTTTAAATGTGAGTCATAATGGTTTTCGCTCATTAGTATGGGAAACTGTGTGCCAACACTGTTTGTTATCCACTTAAATATGTGTATGCTTGGGGTGCAAACAAAATAGCAAATATTTACTTCTCATGCAGTTGTTTCTTTTACTTAGAAGTGTTAGTTTTCATAACAACGATGATTAATTCGGCAAAAACACGAAACATTCTGTCACAGCTTAATTCCTGAAAAGAAAACAATAAAAGCTGAGAAAATCCATGGCATTTATCTTTGGAGAGATGATTAGTTATTCGACGGAATTTGCCCGCCTCATCGAGAATAATAACACAACCGAATTTCCTTGCATTTGATGTTCGTATTATGAATGATTTGCTGATTCGGATTGCTATCACTGAAATTCCTTCCACATTCGACGCATATCCAATATGAAATCATTAAGAGACACAATCGCTTCAGCGTGTTTTATCACAGATGACTTCTCTATCAAATGATTGCTAATTAAATACCGTATATTGATGAACAAACATCCATTATCCTCGTAATGAGCATAACTTGTTGCACGGAACTTGAAATGAAAGGTAGACATTTCTTCGAATTGTTGACCAATATTATAACTAGAATCGAACGTGATGGAATTCTGCATTCACGTAAAATAAAATATATTGCAGTAATGACGCATGATAATAATAATAACAGCCACAATAACAGCGGTGGTAATTGACGTAGGCATGAGTTCACTTGTTGCAGACTATGGTCTGTGAATCGATTCGGTTTTCAATGCGAGATTTTTGTTCATCCAATTCACACTATCGCTAATGATACGGCGATAATGAGAAAGAACTCGCTGTTTGTGAGATTTGAAAGATATCCCGTTATAATGGACGATGTACCATGGGCTTTAATCAAAACCATAAATCATAATATAACAAAAAAGAATGGCTAATGGCTCGACAAACAGCCTATTAATAATTAAATCGTACGCACACGCCGACAAATTGAACACAATATTCATCATACTAACGACTATACATTTCTGTATGTATTATTTAGATGTAATGTAGGAAAGTTGGACATCATTGCTAATAACAAAGCCGCAGCAAATATATGATTGATTGAAACGACAAAAAAAAAACAAATCAAACACTGGTTAAAAAACCCCAAAAGAGCGGAGTTTCAATTTGCAATTTAAACGAATCATATCGTTGACGATATTTAAATATCGATTGAAATTGTAATAAAAATAAATTGACGAAAAAATGTTAGCGTGTGTTTGTCGACCAGTTACGAGTACATTACCAAAACCACCAACATTATCCGCGGCACCGCAAAAGCGATCACCATCGACGGTGGTAACATGCGAACCACGTACAACATCGGTCAATGATTTAAAGGTAACAACAAAAAGTTCACATAAAACGAGGCATGCTATTCTCAACTTTACAATAGACTATTATTATTTTATTATTTGTTGCATTCAAAAATTATGCCAAAAAAGTGTTCATTTATTTCCTGAATTATCTTGCAAAATATGTTTATTTGGTACTTAATTTATTTATTCAGAATTCACATAAATCCTTTTATATGCTAAGTAGCTTATTGACTCATTATTTTTACGTAGAAAACATATTGACAATTGTCAGTCTCAGATAAAATATATTATATTGAAGCCGCATGTATTATTTTAATGGAACAAGCATTTAGTGTTTGATAGAATGCAATCAATTGCAAATTAAATGATTGAATAAATTGTGAATCAATGGACTGACTGCCCCTGTGGCAAATTACTGACTGGCTAGCCAGTCGTCCAATTTGGGACGTTTTCAGATTAAGCCGACTGAGATCGAAGTCATTTTGACTTTATTCGACTATATTAATATAGCAAAGTATAACTAAAATCGACTTCAATCATAGTTGACTCTATAGTCGTCTAACGTCCCAAATAAGTCGTCTGGTTAAATAGACGACTAAAGTCGACTAGGTAGTCGGTTTTAGCTAACAAAATTCATTTTTAGTTGATTTCAGCTAGTCAGTCAGTCAGTCAGTCACTTTTCTTCCAAACGGGTGTGATTGCCTTATTTTCGTGCAAAAAAGCAGTTGATTACAATCATTTCTAATTCCAAATTCCAAATTTGGGATTATCGATTCAATACGATTATATTTTTATGACAAAACCAAAGTATTCACTTTTTTATTCTACAAATCCTTCAATGTTCTCTGCACAGTGTTATCGAATCTCATTTAATTATCATTATTATTTTTTTAATTTGTTAATGAGATTTGCTGCCCGAGCATTTTTTTAAATAAATAAACCCAACGAGATAAAAGTCTGTTATTGTAAATTATTCGACTGTAGATAAAATATGTCACGAATTATTAAAATAAAATCGACTGAATTATCATGATTTTGGTGTAAAGTTAATGAAGTAAAATTGAAAATAGACCTGTTGCATGGAAAATGCTACATTATATATTTTGCAACTAAATAATAATAAAAGGGGATGACGGAGTTGCCTTTATTTTCTGCGAACTCAATACATTTTGACTGAAAAAACAATCTGTAAAAGGGTTCAGGTTACAAAATGTAATATTTTCGGTTCACACCTCAAGTTATTCGTATCATCAAGCAAAGGTATAATTATGCTTATCATTATGCTGTTATAAAGGCAGTGCAACCTTTTTCTTTATAAGAAATTTTTGCTGATGAATTCAAAAAGAAAAGATACAAATTTCATTTGCAAAATAACATACTCAGGTCAGTAATGATTTAATCTGAAAATCTAACCGTCGTTGCTATGTTTACAATGACATTAAAATCAGAACCTTTTGCCACGGTTACCATTTGCCTTATGGTTTCGAGTGAAAAAGAAATCAGATTTATATACTCACTCGCAAAATCGGTGGAAAGAAACCAAGATATGGCTTGTGTGCCGACATAGATGGTAAATAGATCCCATCAACTTAGACATCAGAAAATGAGATTTAAAATTATGAAATCGCATTGTAAAGGAAGTATACACAAGCCGTAAAAAGAGAATTCATGTTTTGCAACAGCAACGAATATACAATGAGCCAATGATGTATACACACGGTGAACATAATAAAATGCATACAACATATAAGTAAGACTCATTGTGAATAATAGTTCACAAGGGATTCAGAAAACAAATTGAGTATTGCAGGTAATCCAGAGATGGGTTTTTGCCCTTTAATGCGATTATTGCTATATACGTACCACTACAACCGAATAGGTTAAAATCCGTTTGAATAACACATAAAATCGTCGTCTCTGTTCTTCAAATTGGTGAAAGGTTATTGGTGTAAAGAGTGTAAATTCGAACGGAAGATATTGATAAGCATAAGAGCCACACTCAATTTCTTTGTCCATTTTCCTTGCCACAGCCGATACAATATAAAATGGAGCCACTATGAGCGTAGACTCTGATCTTATTAAAACGTATTTTCACTTTACAGATTCATGATTGCAAATCAAGTCTATGGGATGATTTTTATTGTCGTTTCGACAACGTCAGTGCCCGTCTACCGATGTTTGCCACATCAATACCATTTTTATTTTGATCATCACCACATTTTCATCAAATTGTTCACATCGTAACATTTTATGCAATATCGTTTAATTTTTTTTCTTTCTCCTTCAATATTTTATTTTTGTGGGCCGTTCGCTCGTTTCTCTATCTATCTATATATGTAATATATACTATATATATATCCGTTGTGTTGATCTACAGACATTCATCTAATCATTTCAGCAGCCTGCTTGTGTATTCAGTGCTTTTTCACTGTTGTGGATAATAATAATGAAATTGTGCGGTGGCTCAGCTGGTGTGAGAATATTGTTCAGCCCTTTGGTGTGCTGTCGGATATTTCTTATATTTCAGATTGTTAAACACCCTGATGACTTTCAGTCTACAGCATTACATATCGTCGACTCAATTTCAGCACTTTTCTTATATCTTTCTCCGCCTTGCTACCGTACGGCATACTGAATGTATTTATGTCGTTGAAAGCCGCAACAACCAATTTTCATTCATTGAATTTTTGCAGCTTTTCAATTTTTGTTGTTGTTGTTATTGCTAGCACCTCCATCCAACTATTTTGAATCGCATGCCAAGGTGTAATGCTGCGAATGGGGATGCTGTGGTTACAAAGGTGTAAAAAATTATTCCATGATTCAGTGATATTACCTCAGTGGATTGAGAGTTTTGCATACAATCAGTAGCTGAATTTCCATTTTTTATGGGTTTCGATATAGTATTTTATTCGCTAGTGTGAAGATAAATTGACGGTTGAAAAGATTGTATCAAATAACTCTTGCCAAAATGATATGGCCACATTTTTTGCGTTTTACGCCCAAGAGTTTTATTTTTTCAAATTTCGAACAAATAATTTTCCATTTTAGCGATTGGTCTGATGCGTTTCAATTTTCCTAGTAGGTGAACGGGAAAAAATTGCAGAATTCATTTATCATTTTGCCATATTTTGCCGCTAAAATGCAACGACGTGTAAAAAAGTCGTATTTGAAACCATATTCGCATATTTGTGATGTGAACTGTGTTGTTCTGCAATGCAGTTGATTAAAAAAGGGAAAATTATGAAAACACGGAATGCATAATGAAAACAAACCCAACTCAACTATATTTCTCGCTTGCACACACACACGCAGAGAGATATATACATGTATGCCGTGCCAGTGACACAATATGACACAGCATTTTAATGATGAAAAACCCTTCCTTGCACATGACGTATCTCTGTCGACACTGCCAACTTGGCAGCAGCATTAAAACATCATGTTTGGCAAAAAAACACATTTCTCATGAAATATGAAAAAAGATACTGCTGAATATACAATTCACGTACATTTCAATGGTTCATTATTGCCGCCCTTCGAATCCGAATACGGTGGAAAGGTTTCGCTATGGCTTTCAGTTCGAATGAAAGCAATTCAGGCATGCGATCTTCATTTTATATGAGAGACAAGATGTTACTTTTGACTTGATTCCTCTCCTCCTACATTGCCCGTAGAAATGGCTTTTGTCACAACTCTTGTGCAAACATAGCTTCTTTGTCCATTTAAAGATACATTATGTCATTTTTTTCTTCTTCTTTTTTATTCTTTTCGTTTGGCACTTTTATTTGGAATGTATGACAAAGCGAACTGATTCTTATTGATGTGATGTTACAAATAAAAAACAGAACTCTTGAAGAAAGGTGCTAAATGAATGTAAATACTGCTCAAATGATGGATACATACAAAAATTGCACTGCTTTAAAATACAATGGACGCATCGTAAAACTTGTGCTCTTTGCATAAAATCATTGTACACCATTTTAAGTTGTGAAGAAATAGCATGAGTGAATGTGCAAGGACAATTTGTTTGCAAGTGAAATCGAGGTGGAAACAACACATAGATATACGACACAATATGGAAATGGAAATCGTGACTTTTCGAACTGAAATGAAGTGTAAGCCAAACTCTTTTCATCGCACAAAAAGCGGGTTGAATGATTGAAGTGCTTAAATGGGCATTAGCATAATAAACTTTTTCGATTTGTTATTATAAACAAATTTGTTATGTAAATCTATCGGCTTTTGACTTGAATGGCGATAACTAAACTTATTTCTGTCCCATCTTTTTGTGCCGACTCAATATAAAAACCTGACAACAAGTGTAAAGGAATGGAAGATTGAATTTGAAAAGTTTTACATTGTTATTTTATCGTTTTATCGCCTCTTTTTCTGTACAATAAAGTTTTGTTGCTTGCACGCACTTTTTTATGTTATTTGATTTTCTGAATACACAATGAAAATAAATGCATCATTTTGCTACACACAATAGGGCTTTGGAATTGACTTTTATCATGATATATTGTATATCTAATCAATTTCGTGATGTTGACGTGCAGGATTTGCATCTGCTCTTTTATTTTTTTCTTCTTCTAAATGAAAATGTGTTTATTTTTTATTGCAGACAGCGCCAGGACGGCCGAATACTGCCGAATTGAAGGCAATGGCGTTACGCCAACAGCAACAGATCGATACACAACATCAATTATTAGCAGCCAAAGAACAACGTCTACGATTTTTAAAGAACCAAGAAATTCGTAATGCCACCGCAGCGGCTGAGGGTGAACGATTGCGACGGCTACGGGAACGTGTCGAAGCACAAGAATCAAAATTAAGGCGATTGCGAGCATTACGCGGTCAGGTGGATTTGCAAAAAACCTACAATGTAACGCTGAGTAAGTAAATCATTATTATTATTTGCACTCGTTTTATATATAATTCGAGCCCAATGTTTCGAAGAAAAAAGGATCAAACAGACTTTTTTTTCTTCACATGACTCCAATTGCCGTTATGTTTTTGCCTTTATGTATGCCGAATTTTATAAATAATTTGAGCGGAATATATGACACTGTTGATATTGGCATGAATTTTAAAAATGCCACAAATATTGATGAAGAGAAAAAAATCCCATCAATATGTTTCATCAACAATTCTTACAATATAAGCCACAGCAGAATTTTTATAGCTTTCATCAAAAATTACATAAAATGTTCCAACTCAGTCGTGTTTTATAAAAAAATGACTTTTTTTTTGGTGGAGTGCCACACAACATTGTTATAATAAAATCCTCGTGGCAATTATATGGTATGGTAAGGAACACTTTCAAAAAACTAATTAATTATATGGTATGTTTAATGCAGTTTTATTTTTAATTTCATCTACCAAACAAAAAAGAAAATCAATAACAACATTTTCTCGACATTCAAGTCCGACGGGAATAATAATACAATTTTCCATAGAATTTTGGTTCAACTGTCCAAAAAATGATTAAATATATGTATGCAATGTTCCTGCCATGAATGGTACTCATAACGAAATAAATTGAAAAGGCGGCAAATAATGGTACTTGCGCTTTAATTATCTCCACACACAATGCACCAAAAATGTGAATTTAAAAAGTTTTTATTTAATTGAATTTGGCAAAGCTTCTATGCCAAATGAGCTAGTATGTGCAGTTATTTAATTCATGCAATTTACTTTTTAATTAAAAATAGCGACTAAAATCGTTGTGCTATCAATTCTAATCAGATACTGTGTTGTTGCTATCAATACAATCAACTTTTCGAAGGCTTTGGTGTTGAAAAAAGCTTTGGGATGTCACTTTCAAAAAGAGGGTTTGTTGTTGTCACTCACAAAAGAAAGCCTGTCTAACGATATTTCAACACGTACAATGTATGTGTATCAGCCAAAAGCGAAGCCATTTCATTTATTATTTGGGTGATTTTTTTGCCGTCGGAAGCGCCTCTCGATGTGGCGTCTCAATAGCAAATGCTGGCCGTGTTTACATATACAATGCTGTTGCTACCATTTTATTATTTGCATTTAAGCCACACGAACAGCTTATTAATAGACCCAAGAGTTTGTCATTTCCATTCGAGCGAAACAAATGACGTCCATTTCACAGTGGATTGGAAAATGTATTTCGCACAATTTTGCAAATTGCAGACTGTTTTGTTGTACGGATAAAAGACTGATGTCAACGCAGCATGTTTCAATTTACCAAACCAGCTATTATTCAATGTTTAAGTTATTTGGCTGTACCAGCAGACAATATATGTACTATTTTTTTTAAATGTTGAACACGACATTTATTTAAGTGTTGTGCATACTCTCTTCGTTTATTACTCAATTTCTCTCATTCAATCCGTTTCTGTGTGAGTGAAAAGAGTTGTTGTTTACGATGTTCATCTTGTAATTGTCTGCATTACCATGTTCTATTGTCACTTATTTTTATACACCGAAAGCATGAAGTGGAAATTTCCTATTAATTTTACGCTCAGTAGTTTTATAAATGCACTTTTAAAAACTTGGAAATTTTCTTCTTCCATAAGTAATACTTACAGCTTAAGCTCACGCTTTAATTCAAATACGGCATTGCAAAATATTTTGGGATTATTTAATTTATGCTTGCTTAAAAGAAGAACACAATTAAAAACTCACAAAAGCATCCAAAATTGGAAAAGTCTTTTTGATTACACCACAAATTGAGTAGTTTAATAAATAAAATCTTTCTTGTGTAGCCATGAATAATAAGAACATCAGCGAATGTACGATGTTTGAGACCATAAAATTCGTAGCCGAAAAGAAATGTTTTGCACTCTATTCATAAAATGGTATTAAAATCAATTGGATCGGTTGGAATATTCTTGAGCTCAGGAAAGTTAAAGTAAAAGAGCAGCCGGTTCCATTCTAGAGAGAAGTCTTGTGATAATTTCATACAATAAATTGTTAAGTTTGAACTAAAACACACTTTTCGCACATTCCAATTTCAAAATCGTACTGCGATTAAATTACTATTGATGTCATACATATATTTCTGTTTTTTTTTTTCCTTATCGCTACACTGTCCAGAGAACGCTGATGAACTTTTGCTATTTTCTGAATGTCGAGTCAAACACGCTTTTTTGCTAATATGCCATATTGAATAGACATTCAGGAATATTAAGGATAAAGTGAAATTGAAAGCAATATCTTCATAACTATCGATTTATAATTACAATTGAAATGTTTTTTTTTTTACTTTCGTGTGAAAATGTTCACGTGAAATGAAGAAAACATAAGTAAATCCTTACAAGACTCAAGCTCGGTTCGATTCAAACACGAAATTCTGAAGTATTGTAAGATTATTTATTTTTTTTGCTGATGAGAAGAAAACAATTTTATACGAAAAGCATTCCAAATTTAGCCTTTTTAAGTTCTGTAGCCATAGATAAGAGCAATATGAGCGATATTACCACGATTGAGGTCATAGATCGTGGCATAGAATCTATGTTTTGTCAGACGGACTTTTTGTGGAAAAACTGCGGCATTTTTTGACTGAAAGAGTATAATAACATAATGTTTAGTCGTATGAAATCAAGATCAAAATCCTATTCTCTTCTCACTTACGTTTAATTTAATTACAGCTGCTGTAAAGATCACATTAGAATCTTCATACTCGATGTATTGAAATTTACCCAAGAATTTACCACTCTTTTTGCGTGCATATAAAATTGTATCTCCATCCTTTCGCTCTCCGAACATCCATTCTCGGTACTTTGTATTTTTTTTCTCAGGTGTGGAACAAATTAAGGCGTAGCTTTTTGGCCGAGTGATTCTAAGTAGAGCAAAATGTCCAAAATTCGAGGCCTCGAAGAGGGATGACCTGCTCAGCTCAACACCAACATTGAAATTCGTTGCATTTGGAATATTTATTTCAGCATTTATATGTTGATCAGGAATGTTTATGTCATATGCTCCACGATTGTCAACATGAGTTAGATCCAAATGGCCGGTCGTATTCTGAATAAGAAAAAAAAAAAAAAATCAATATAGTGTACAATATTTGGCAGAAGAATTCAACTGGAAATTCTTTGTTGAAACTTTGATATTACACTTTTTTGAGGAAATGCATGATATTTAACGAGAATTTGTGTCGATAAGGCAACGACGAATTACCTGTGCATTGGAATGAATCACAGCTTGGTTGATGAAACCATCAAATGTACTTGTAATATACTTGAAAGTGACCACATAAGATTTTGGAACTGTTGTGTTCCTGGTGAAGAGAGTACGCTCAAAAAATTTATTATCATCGTCACTGGATAATACATTTGTATATGTATGCGAATCTCCAGCACATCGATTTAAACTAGTTATACAAAAAATAACATATGCAATCAATATACACTTATGCATTGTTGTGATAAAATTGTATTGAAAACAATTCCGAACACTCAACAGAGAATAAAAAAAGGATTTCTATCAATGATTTTATTTAATAAAATATCGAAGTTGAACTAATTCCACAGCACACTTTTTATACATTCAAATTTCAAAATCATACTGCGATTAAATTTTGTATTGATGTCATACACATATTTCGTTTTGTTCTTATCACTACAATGCTGATGAACTTTTGTTATTTTTTGATTATCGTGTAAAACAAGCTTTTTGTAGCCATATACCATATAACAGTAAATAATACAAACCTAACTGTGGCATATTAATCATAAATTAAACACCATAATAATTTAAATAAATTTAAATCGATAGCAGTTTTTTTCATAAAGATATTGTGACCCTCATTATATTTCTTCTATTTCGAACAAACTACCGTTTATAATCCATTCGATTGAAAATATCTCTTCCAAATTTATTTTTCAAAGAATCCACCTCTTTTTATAGCCATGAATGAACGGCGTTTTCTTCAAGGAAACTAAAGCCAAAATGAAGTGAAATATCGATAATCGATTTCATATTTAAGTTTTTTCTGTTTTTGTACCAAAAATAAACATTTCAGCTTGGAAAGGGTTTCGTTTCAACTCATTAAGTAGCTGGTGGACTGAAAATTGAATGGTTGTTGGACACAATTATTTTGTTAGTAAAGACAATGACCCATGGTGACTGTAAGGAAAAGTAAATAAATTACGTCGAATTCGATAAAATGTATAGAGTACACAGAGAGAAAAAATGTGGTATTTTTAATTCAATTATGGTAGATTTAATATAAAATGAACCAACAAAGAATTAAATTTACCATTTTTGACATCTCTGAGGCATCTTTTTCAAAAGAGACTATCAGTTGAATAAGTTTTACCAATAACTTAATTACATTCACCAAACTCATGGGCTAGCGTCATTTGTGGTTTCGAAAAGTTGGTAAAACCTATTCAACAAATATTATATTTTGAAAAATATGCCTTAGAGATGTCAAAAATGGCACATTTAATTCGTTTTTGGTTGATTTTATATTAAATCTACCAAAATTGAATTAAAAATACCACATTTTTTCTTTCTGTGTAGTTTTTAAAAAAAATCAAGCATTTATTTTCTCAATTAATGTACAAATCTTCATTAAATTCAAAACCAAGATGAGACCACTAAATTTATTTATGGTATGTTTATAAGACCACATTTAAGATCCAACAAAAACGTATGTGACTGAATAAGACTTTTACGCTTTATTATGAGAAACTATCGCTCTTGTTGATTGAAAAAAATACACACAAATATTTGTCGTATGAAATCAAGATGAATACGTAACAACATAAATTTAACCTAATGTGAGTATCAAGTTGTAAAAAACTGGTTAAAATTTTAACACTTTAAATGAATTGAATTTTGAACACTTAATCTAGGGGAGAATCTGAAGATAACTTTATTCGATAAAATCACACTTGTCAATTTCTAAACTGTTATATTGATGTCATATACTTATTTCGGTTCTTTTTCTTATCACTATATTGCTCAGATGATATAGAATAAAATTGCAAATAACATAAACATAACTGTGGAATATTAACCATAAATCATTATGTTATATATAAATTGAAAGTAATATTCTTAATAAACGATGATGTGACCCTCTCGTTATTTCAGTTTCTTTCCAACAAACAACAGTTTTCATTTGCGTGTTTCCTTATAAATTTATATTTCAAAATCTCCGACTCTCTTCATAATTACGGTCTGAAGTGTGTTTTAAAGCAAAGCAATTTCTTTGATATTTATGTTTGTTCCTTTTTCGTACCAAAAATAAACATTTCAACTTGGAAATTGTTTCGTTTCAACTCATAAACGGTGGCTTGAAAATAGTTTTTGGTTGCAATGATTTTGTTGGTGAAGACAATGACCCATGGTGACTGAAAGTAAACGTAAATAAATTACATCGATTTCAATTAAATTTATTGACATTTTCTCAACGCTGCACATACGTTTACTTTCACCAATATGTAGGTTATATTAACGTATTGATCGTGAAAATATAAGCTAAATGTTCGATTATTGCTGTACTCTTGTCGATACTGTATAAGAATATCCTTCGGCATTCGGTTGCCAAGTTCGATCAAAGGCTTTTGTTGTAACTTCTCTTTGGCCACATTTTGTGTGCAAATCAATGCGTACGAATGTGGCTTTACTTGTTCTGGTAGAAGTTGCAAAGAGATACCATCAATATTTATGCCAACAAAACCTCGAACCTCTACGGATGACGTAAAATTGGTTGCATTTATAACATCAATGGTTGCATCGACGAAATGTTTACGATCGGTATAAATCTCCTTTAAATAATCTACTTCCGACGTACTATTCTAGTTATTCCAATAGATTTTCACAATTTTCAATTGAAAATAGGCTCTTATTCACAATTTGTATGAGAATACATTGACACAAATGCACAAATGCACACTGATTGCAAAGAACAAACTTACATGTGCTCCAGTTATATTTATTTGGGCAAAGAAAATGGCTCCACCGAATAAATTGTCAACATATTTGTAGCGAATCGTATAGTTAGTATGGTTGATTGAGTTTCTATTGAATAGGTCGGCCTTTTGTAGTACATCGCCTTTAATGCAGAAAATTCAATGAAAATTGCAATTATTGATCGATATCAAACTAAACATACACATTCGATATAAAATTAGAGCACATTTTATGGTATTTCAATTTCAACCTGCACCAAATATATTTCGGCTGTCTGTTGTGTGTTTCACGGTGGTTGCAATGACTGCAAACAAAAGAAACACTAATACCGATTTCAATGGAATCGAATCGAATAGATAAGACATGGTTTGCCTCTTCGAAAACTTTCAGACCAAATAATCACAATACTTGTGTGCACAACAAGTTTTGCGTGAGAAAAACTTTCACACACACACATATCACAAACTCATACGTCTCCACATTTAAGGCGATTATGATGTTGTACACGTACAAATTGAGTTGATGTTTGTTTGTTTGCTACAACATGAAGCAAAAGATAACATATTCACATTATTCAGTGTACACAAAAGGACCGAATGTAAATTGAAATAAAATACATGTCAAAATGAGAAAGAAAGAGCGAGAACGACAGCAAAAGAAAAGAAATTAGGTCCAGACAGCCGATTCGCAGATTATTTTTTTTTGTCAATTATTCTGATTGGGTTAGTATTTAATTTTTCGTGCTTTGGTGTTTTTATAATTCTATTAATCCATTACGTATACAGAGACATGCTCACTAAATTATCTGTTGACTTCACGTAAAATACCCGAACATACGTCACATTTGTATGAGTGTGTATAATGCGATGTTGATTTCATCACAGCAAGCATCATACTGGAAAAGATAATAATAAATGAGAGCAAACTGAAAAAAGAAAACATTCCACATCTCAATTGTACAACAGATTGTAACGGAAATGTCAAATGGAACAAAAAATATTCAATTTACATGGCTCCGAAACGTGTCTGCCGGGGAAACATCTGATGGAATGTTGACGAGAAAATTGCAACACAAAACATAATATACGTGAATTTTGAATGTGTTCTTGAAGAAATAGCGACATTGAGAGATTGCATTCTATTTCTTTCTATCTCCGACTCGGTAAGATTTTATCAATTATGTGCACATCTAGTGTGTAAGAGAAAAATAGACGATTCTCTTTCGAGCAAACATAAATTACATTTAATCTGCCATAAAATGTAGAAATGTATGATATTTTATGAAAACAACAATAACAATAACGAAAAAAGAAATAAAAAAAACTGAACAATTTTGTCTGCAAAGCGGAAAGTATTTTCTTTTTATTTTGGCTTCGCTTGAGGTATGGCTGACGACTGCTCGCTGCTTGTCCGTATGATATTGTAGCTTGTTGAATTGTCATCTGATTTGCAGTTATTGTTTTACCATATGTTTGCACCGTGTGTGTGTGTAGATAGTGTGGCACTGATATGTTCTTGTTCTCGATGGCTAATGCATTTAAACGGTTAAGATTGACTTGTATTGTGTCGGTTTTTCGCTAGCCTGGTATCCATATACATTGAAATTTACGGTAAATTGTGGTCGATTCAGATCATAAACGATTGCACTGAAACTATGCGGTTGAATAAACGAACTATTCAAGAATGCTGTTGCAGTTGGCGACTGTTGGTGGATGATACGAACAAAATAGATTAATATCAACTGTGCAATGTGCATGCGATGTGTAATAATTCAGCGGTTGTTATTTCGATTGCCGAGATAGAATGATAAAAAAAACAACAACAAAGAACTTACATTGAACTGGAACTCAATTTGTGTTATGTACGCATTTGGATCGTTATAATCAATTTCGTATTGGGGAAAATTGTTGTATTCATTATTGACAACGATTTCATCGAATGTGAGCACCGTATCGTTTGCTTGACGTTGACCAATCTTGAAGAATCGATCCACCGTAGTAGTTTCGTTGTGCGCATAAATGAATGCAAATGATTTTGGTTCAAAGAGTTTATCACCATATATTTCGGCTCTTTGCGGATCGATTGCCAGTTGGCTTGTAGCCGATGCTTCAGAACCGAGTATTCGAGCATTCACATGGAGATGTTCACAATTCGTTACATGTAAATTTGCTGTGACAACGGTTTCTTCTCTTTCTCCTTGATTTAACTTCAATTCAACCTTTCCGGTACTCACCTAAATATGGTTTACCGTTTGTTTATTCAATTTCCCATTTTCAAAGTATACATTTTACTCACACAATTCGCCACATCAAATTCAATAAATGTTATCACTCCGGCCAATTTGTTTAACACATATTTATAGATAATGGTATAATTTGTTGGAATCGTTGTGTTTCGTTCAAAAATGTTTCGATTCAAAATGACTTCGCCTTTGAAAGAGAATAAATAGAAGTATCTTATATAACTTAACAAAACTTGACAAAATGGTTGTTTGCGTCAAACCCTTAAAATCGCTCGGTCCAAATGAATGTTTATCAGCTGCGACAAATGAACTTGAAATCCATCCGGAATAGTAGAGAATTAAGAACCAACCACAAATGTAAAGAAGTTTTGACACTTTCGATGAAACCTTTATGTCAAACATAAAAACTTTGTGCCCTTTTTTATGTGGTTCACACATTGTTTGTTGCGATGGGTTTAATTGCAATTTATTATCGATACCCTTGATTTATTCTTTTGAAACAGACTGTTTTGACGCTTTGTTGGTAAAATACTATATACTAGAAATGCTTTTTCACTTGCGGCACCATATTGCTTTTGACACGATTACTGTGTATGTCTGTGTGTGTGAGTGTAGCACAAGTGCAAATACATTACACAAACACAAACACCATTTGAACAATCGCCTTCTTCTTCGAATCCGTCATTAAGCACTGAAATGAATTGCCAGTTAGGCGATGTAATCACGAAATACTTGAGCTTCGAGTAATTTCCTTTTTTCGCTGTAAAAAGACATACACATACTCCAATGTAAATTGAGTGCTCATTGAAACCTATTATTTGATGTGTTCAAACAACGAACGAATACACACCAGTCTCACTATATTAAACATTTCAGTCTATAGTTTACGGTGTCTATGTAGCTATGTAAGAGTAAACGTATAATCAGTACGAGCATATTGTGTTGCAAGAGAAGAAGAGAGATGGATTCATTATTATGCGGAACAAATATTCAACTGAACAGTTCATGTTAAATCTGTGATTAGTGTTATTTGCCTGATTTGGTAAAGATTTTCAATCTGTCGATCATTTTGTGCCGTAACATTTGCACCATATTACAAGCTTCGGCAATGTTCGAAAGATATTTATTAAAATTTATCAAATGTTCATGTTCAAAGTGGTTCTAACAATAATTTAGTAGTCAAATGAACTCGAAAAATGCTTAGCAATAAGTGAAATGCCAGATTTTCAATGGAAAGAGCCACTTTGTTGGAAAATTGATTGCTCCACTTTAGCTCAATGAGCATTACGCATTTTTTTCCATACAATTTATAAGCGCCCCCAACAACCCGCACAAAAATAACAATAAAATAATGGCAATCCGGGTGGTGGACGCGTGAAATGATTTTGTAATTCAACATTTTTCTATGGCAACTTGGTCGGGAGACTTTTTTTTTTTCAATTTGAATAAAGCTTAGAATACAAAGTGGCAGCATTACATGTATGAATGAAGAAAAAAAAACAACACTGACAACAGCTGACAGAAATTAAAACAAAAAGTCAAAAATACATGAAATGGTCTCGCATGTTAATGTTACTGCTTACATAAATCACATTCAATCTCTGGCAAATGTGACACATATTATGAGTGAGAGAATGATTGATAACGTATCTGCGTTTTGGTGTATAAATTCGTATCATGTTGTTTCAATACACTGTCGTATGGACAGACAGCAAAAAAAACCATTGAGAAGTTCGATCTGATGAAAAAAAAACAGCAGCAACAACAACTGTCGTTCCCCGCAAACATTGTTCTCATTTGCATGTATGCCAACATGATCACAAACATTGGATGTGTATTTATATCGCAAATTACAGCTTGTTTTTCTATACGAATTGAGTTCGTTGATTAAATATTCACAGAGTTCTGGCTGATGTATGCACATTTTTTTGTTCTTCTCTTACGCTCTCTTCATCTTTCCGTCTCTCTCTCTCTCTATCTCTCTCTCTCTCTCTCTCTCTATTTATAATCAATAGATCGGAAATTGTGAGGTTTTTTGGCTGGAAAAACATCAAATTTTGATTTTGACTGTAACAATCGAATTGATTGAGTATTATCTGCTCTTTCGTTCGACACACATCGAAATTCACTTTGATTGGCAGCACATATGTAGTTAATTTCTTGAATCTGACTGGTTTATCGTCGGAAAAACGGCAAAAATATCGATAACCCAGAAATTGAAATCGCAATTTCGAGCACATATTGAGAGATTCTCACAGCTTTCGGTCTATTGGCTATATAAATATGTTCAGTTTGTTATATTTGTGTAACATTATGTGTATCATTAAGCGAATGAAAACGCACTGAAATTCACTTTTTGATACTTTATACCCTTTGTTTCGCAATCGAACTAAAGCTGCCGCTGCTGCTGTTTCGCATCATTGTACTTCCATATCATTTTGTTTCTCTGCGCTCTATCTCGTTGCTATTTAATTGAATGAAATAGATTGAGTTTCGTTTACATTTAGATTTTCTATATTACCCAACCATTTGTCCAGAATAAGGTTTTCAATTTAGTTTTGTGCGGCCCCAGAAGCTGTCTATTTGCCATTGTCGATATTACAGCAAAGCAACGGTTGTTGCTCATTCGCCTTCCATTTAATGGCTATTGAGGCAACGCACGTATTTCATTCACCCAAATTGAATACTATTAATTATACGAAAGAAAAGCTCCCTCAAAAAAGCAACATTCCGCCACCAGTCAAACTCAATATTGTTTGCAGATATTCACAAGAGCAAACAACAAAATGTCCCATTGGCGAAGGAAAACGTTCAACGGTTTTTGAAAATGCAAATTCGGTTGCAATTCTGTAGGGTTTCATGGATACACATTCACAGCAAAGTGGTTGAAATAACGGCAAATATTTACAAATCGTCTAGCTTTCACGTCATTTGAAAACCGTTTTCTGGCTAATTAACCGCAAACTTTACAGCAATGCAGAGTGAAAATGACAGAGAGCGAATTCATAATATTTGAACCCTGAATAAAATAAGAGCCATATAACATTTGAATTAAATTCCAAACTCGTGCCGATTTCAATTTCAATTGAGTTTCAAACTTAAATTTCTGATTAAAAACGAACTGAATTGATCTATTGAAGTTGCATTTTGCAACTATTTAATCATCAATGAACTTTGAGTCTAAACATTGGCTCGATTCTATTGTGCATTGAGATTACCCTAGGCATTTGAATGTGAAACCATGGCATGCCATATGGAATCCAATTGAATTTACCGAAATTTAATGGCTTTTTAATGGAGTGCATTTTCGAGAATGAATCATTTTCACCTTTTCAACGCTAACAAAAATTCAAATGTTGAATTCATGAAATTTAATTCCATTTGTATAATGTTTACAGCCATTGTTTACCCGTTTAATAATGAATTTGTTTTGTGTTTACTTAGTTACATTGGTATTTTAATCACACTTGATGGTGGTGCCCAGAAATCGATAATTTCTCGGTAAGCTGTTACATTGAAAATAAAATGAAAACCAGAAAACGACAAACGGAAAGTGACTAAAAAGTTTATTTGTAATTTCCGGTTTATTTTACCCAAACACTCTCCCGCTCTCTCTCCATCTCTGCCATTGTTTGTATAATGGATGCCAAATGGGTATTTGAAGAGGAAAATTCCTTATTGCGATTTAACAGAGCGCTCACCTTCAAAAGTAAACCAGATTTCTTGTGTAAAGTAAAGATAACTTCACATAAGCTGCAGGCATCATAACAACCACTTGTGCAACAAAACAATTTATTAAGATGTAAATCTCATTGGCAAAAAACAACAAAATAAAATAAATACAAACAAATCTATATATAAACGCGAAACAAAAAGCGCAAAGAACTAAATAAAACGAACGGAAAAATAGAGTCGATCGAATCAGTTGGTTTGAGACACGATTTTTTATTTAAATCAGCCACAGGAAAAAGTTTTTACGATTCGATGTGATAAAAATTGTATCGACCGAGAGAGATAGAGAGAGAGAGAGAGAGAGAGAGAGAGAGAGAGTAAAGTAGAAAAAATGTGCATGGCAAAAAAAATAAGTGGGCAATAAAATTTCAAGTGATATTCTCCATCGGCAGGTATTACACGAATTGTGCACATGTTCGAATGTGTTTCCAGTACAAAATCTCAATGACACTCAACATATAAATAAACGTCACCATACATATGAAAACGACAAATCCATACATGCAGACAACAAAACACAAACAACATCCATAACACACAAACTCGGCAATTCATAGAGTCTCTCTTTCTCTCTGTGTGCATTTATGGTGAAAGAGAAACGACTGACATCGCAAATCCTGCCACTCAAAGTTGAATTTGTGCACACAACGAATGAGAAAGAACCGTGCCAGAAATGAAATCTGACATGAAACAGGAGCAAAACTTTGAAGAAGCAAAAAAATACGTTCGCTGCATCAAATTTGTCGAAAAAATACGGTTCTGATTCGTACACGACTTTTCTATCGTTGCGAATGATGGGGATGCTGGCAGCGATGATGTTTGTAGTTGGCTGGCTTATGTTGTCTTTCTTTCGCATGCAATGTGATACTCGAAATTTTTACATTGTTTTCTGTATTATTGTCACGAACCACTTTTGCCTCGAAATATTTTTTTTTCCTTCGCATTTTCCATCGATTTATATTTCATTTGCTTGTACAGTGTACAACGGTGGGGGCACGATAGCAATGACTATAACGACAACGTTCTTTCACAAAGTTATTATTTTATCGCATTATGGATATGGCATTATTGGATTCTTTAGTTTATTGATTTCAATATGAGCAAACTGTTTGAGTATGACGCTGGAATATGTGCAGGAATCGACAAGTGTGCATACATAAAATGCTGGATGCTGCTTTTCGCGTTTCACAAAAGCACCGAACCAGAAGAAGAAGACGACGACGAAGACGAAAAGAAATGTGCTGACACAGAAATGAATTCTTCTATCAGTGGTTTGAACTCAATATTCTGCCATGGTAAAATTAAGCTTCATAGCAATTTCGAAGAATCTATCAAAATGAATTCAATGATGGTATTTAGGAAAATGCTTCATTGTCCTTATGTATACGATGTACGCACTATGCGATGTCATGAAATGCCATGCACATTGTCCATCACATTGTCATCCGTTTAATTCTCAATATCAACCGAACACTGTAAATAAGCAGCGAGCTAAATAAATGAATAAATTAAGTGTAGCACATCTTATAGCTATGCAATAGCTTATGGGCTTCTTTGAATACTTCAGCAAGCCACGCATACACACAATGAAATGCCAACTTTTCGATGAAATTGCAAGGAAAAATGTTTCTATCTTATTAACATAGGAATAATTCGCAAGCGAAGGACATTTTTTATGATATCATTTTGCTTTCGCGTGCTCACGCTTTATTCGGGATGCTGATTGCTGAATTGTTTCGCATTCATCGTCAAACAGATTAAAATACACTCTCATCACACCCATAGACAACACCCGAATCGAATAAATTGCAAAGAAAGTAGAGAATGACTTGACTTGATGGAGGAGCACACAGACCGAACAGTATGCAGATATCAGATCTGCTATCAAATGGCTGGCTCAAAATAGCTTTAGCTAAAGAAATGAGGAAAGAATTTATTTAATGAATGC